AGACACATGATCTCTTTCCTTACCAAAAGGTATGAGCAAAAGATCTCAATTACCTTTCCTAAGGATGAACATGGAATGTCGACTTGGGAGGCTGTTCCTCCAACCACACTGGCAATGGAGACACCTTCCGCCTGCACCTTCTCTGCCTCTTTCCGTTTCATTTGTGATGAGCAAGATGTTGATGGGTCCTGTGGTGCACTCACTAAGCCTTGTTCATGGAATAGAATCCATGAATCTGCTACTTTGTCTATATCTTTACTTGCATCATTTCAACATTTGATATCAACTGAGTCTTGATTTTTTAAAAAATTAACTTATATATGATAAAAACATACAGTGTTCATTGGCTACTGAGCATTGTTCTAGAACTTTACATAACCACTAACCAAAGCAGGATTAAGTAAAGTGAAGTTACCGAAATGCTGGCGTGTTTATATAATCTATGACATTCAGAATCAATAATAGGAAATCTCATTTATTCATGTAAAGAGTATTTATTGCACTTTTACAAGATAGATTACATTTTTTGGAAATTTTACTATCTGCAAATCTGAGGAAAATTATTTAAATGCACTCTTTCAATCTTTTCTACCAGATAGAAGAAATTTGTATTGATGTTTTCTTCCTTTTCATCGAGGAGAAAGCTGAGCCCAGATAGGTTGACTGATTTGAATAAGGTATAAAAGTTAATGTCTCAATATAGAATTAAAGATTGAATTATCTGAGACTAGATACTGAATTTCAAACACTATTTATCCTCTCTTCTAGTCGGAGCTAAATACCTGAATCCCAGGTATTGACCTGGGTATAAGTCACTGCGCCGCCTTCAAAAAATAAAAATAAATAAAATTTTAAAAGTCATAAATGGTGTTCACAAAGACAGAGGGGCAGTCAGTGTTGTGTGGTGCCAGAGGAGGGACTTGCTTAATCCCGGAGAAAGGACACAAAGAAGGTTGTCATTTATAGGAGGCTTGCTGGATAGCAGACCCTGAGTGATGCAAGCAGTTAAGCACCTGACTACTAACCAAAAGGTTAGAATTTCAAATCCACCTGCAGTAGCCTGGGAATAAAAATCTGGCAATCTGCTTTCAAAAGACAGCCGCCATGGAAAACCCGCTGGAGCACAGCTCTTCTCTGAAGAACAAGGGTTGCCGTGATTTGGAGTCAGCTCGATGGAAGTTGGTTTGCTTGTTTTGTTTCCTTTCTTTATATATATATAAACAGAATGTGAAAAAGCAGTGGAGAAAATTGGTCTTTCAGAAGACCGGATGGGGTCAACATAGGAGTATCTTAGTGCTCGACCCTGAGTGCGGCTGAATAATGGCAATCTGTTTAAGCCTCATCCTTGACTTTGTTCATTGAGAACTAAATTAAACTTGAGGGTGGTTTCACTTTGTCCCTCTGCACTTCACAACTTCATCGTAAAGTATAATATACTCATAATACAAGTATTTCCTTGACTATGTTTTAATACTCAAGTTAATTTATCACTTGACTACTAATGGCCTTAATTGTATCTAAACCAAGAATCATACTTTAGGGTTAAAATATTATAATGATATGATAGAAGCTGTGTTAGTCTGGGCACATTAGAGATACAAATCCACAGAAACTCATGTATATGAGAGAGTGTTATATAAAGGTTAAGTGCACATCAAGAAAACATCCAAACCCAGTTCTGCCCAAGCCCACCAGTCCAATATTAACCCATATGTCTAACACCAATCCACAAAGTCCTCTTCCATCTCACAAAAACACACTATGATGCTGACTGTTGGAAGAAAGCCAAATCAGTGAGCATAGAAGCATCTCAGCATTGGCAGGGGTCTCCACACGGGTGGTCCAGCACCCAGGACTGCATCGGGGTAGGTCCATGTGGCTTCTCTTCAGGGATGTCTGGCAGGAAGTTAACCTTGCCAGCTGAAGCAGGGAACTGGCTAAGGCAGCTGCACCTTGGTCCAACAATCAGAAAGCAAGAGACCCAAGAACTAGAAAGGTGAGGCTCACCAAACCACTTATCCCTCCGCCCTTCAATTAATCCCACATGTGTTTATTGGCCAGGTTTGCACAATAAACTAACTATCTCAGAAGCCAGAAATAGCACTTTATAAACTGCTCACAATACTCCATCCCCACCACACCCTTTAGTCTGGGAAGATCTCCGGGAGGAGTACATGGAAGCACCCGCCGGCACATTTGTTCAGTTGGTAGCCGGTGGGTTCGAAGTGTCAGCTTTCAGTCAGCAGCTGACTGCTCACCCACTCTGCCACAAGGACTCCTTCATGGCTAGGAGTATCTTCAGCTTCAGAAAACTCACCAAACATTTATTTTCAGCTGTATTACAAAGAGCACTATACTTGCTGTTTTCTTTGAAGAATAGTAATCATTCCCCACCACCACCTTATGAGAGTTGGACACATGTATTATCCTATTGAAGTCATAATATAGCAACCAACTTTTCATAGGGTGTTAATTTCCCAAGTTTCTCCCACGTATTTTATCTTAATAACCCAGAATTTCATAATGTAAGTAGTATTCATAGATCCTATATATAGTTGGAGAAACATGGATGGAGACAGATTAAGTCATTCTCCCAAGGTGAAAAAGAAGAAATGGAGACCCAGAACTCAAAGAGTTTATGTCAGAATGCAGTATTTTGTTCTATGTTCCCTGGCTGCCAAAGGGACTTCCAGTGTGTCTCCAGTATTTGGCACCACACCAGACACACAGTGGGTGTTCAAGAAATATGTTTTAAATGTTGAATGAAGATTTAAATTACTTGGGGGATTTCTGAATTCATCTTCTCCATAAAGTAATAGAGGCTCACTTAGATCAAGTGAATTATCTAAGGATAATTTGTTCTAGACTTGGGGTGGGTGGTAGCTTATTTGAGTGATCATACACTGCTACCATTATTTTTATTACACTTGTTACTTGTTTTCCATTTCTAACTCGGCTAGAGTTTCATTTCTTCTATAATTTATATCTTCTCAACCCTGGTGGCAGAGTGGTTATGTGTTGGGCTGGTGATTGCAAGATCAGCAATTCGAAACCACTAGCCACTCCACAGGAGAAAGATGGGCTTTCTACTCCCGAAAAGAGTTACATTCTCAGAAACCTACCAGGTCAATTCTTCCCTGTCCTTTAGGGTCTCTATGCGTTGGAATCGCCTCAATGGCAATTAATAAATGAGTTTTAGTATAATCATTCCACAGAGATGAGAGAGGGATAATTCATTATCATGAATGTTGGCCAAGGAAATTTTAGGAAAGGGGGCATTCCCCAGATGGTTCCCATAAGTACTGTTCTCTTTTGATAGGCTAAATGATCCAAATATAAGAGCTATTACCTAGCTTTTCTGTGACAGATTTGTTTCAACACATAATTGGTCCCAGTTTTAAGAATATATTTGTTTAATATTCACACTAAACAAAATGCTACTATAAACCAGACACACAGAAGCATGGTGTACTGCCAGAGATTAATGGTTCAATTATTATGTCCTAGTATATTTTATGGCTTCTATTACTTAATAGTTTTTAGATTTGAATTTATAATGATTGTACTACATTTGAAATCTAATTGGTAGTGTATAATCTTAGAAACCTTCTGCATAACTCAGAAATTTCAGAACACGGCATCGTTCAATTAAGTATTGGGCTATGTTCCTTGTTTCTGTATATCATCAACATCTCTCATGGATCATCTTTCAGCTAATTTCTAATTTCAGAATTTTCCTTGGCCAATGGTTTATTCTGATTCAGCTAATAAACGGTATCATTAATAATAACTTGCTGAAGCTAGTTTTCATTATATGTGGTAATCGAAGCCTCTTAAAGATAAGGCACACAAATCTTCCTTTTTTAACAACAAAATTAGTAATAATTTATTTAATGCTTTAGGAATTGTAAAGTTTGTATTCATCCTGAACTTAGAGCTTTGTCAAGAAGAAATCATTCAAGATGGAAAAGAGGCACTCTACCTGCATGTCAAACTTAATGATGACTCCCTGGGCCCAGAATTCAATTTAGCATCATCAACTCTGGGTTGGCCCTTGCCTTTTCAAACCTCCCCCTCACTTTCACATAAGTCTCTCACCTGCATTCACATCTGTACTACCCACACTCACCCAGATGGCAGACTCTTATTTCCAGGTCCCCTGTTCTAAATTCTGTTATTACTATATTTTTTATTTCAAGTCACCTGATGACTACATTTGTTTTATTCATAACCTGTCCTTTACCTTAGTTATTTTGATATTGAAAATTTAATGTGTCTTCATCTAAAGATAGGGGTTAAGAACCATCACTTCAATGGCATTGAACACAATTCTCAGTTCTGTGGCTGCCATAAATGTTTAATATATTTTAACTACTATTCTTAGCCCAAGTTTTGCCATTATTTCATCTGTAATTATTGTTGTCAGCACAGTACACTAATTAATCCCCTGATATGATATAAAGCCGAGTATAATTTAATGTTGTATGTGTTTGCATCAAGATTGTAAATTCTTTAAAGGGTGCTATGTCTTCTATTTCTCTGCACACCCTTAGAGGAAATTATGAAAACAACATTAGTTTTTTGTTTGAGTTGGTTTTTTTTAATCACTATTCTGTTCTTATACATGACAACTTATGTTTGTTCCTTCTAAGACACTGGGATAGATCTAACCTTTTTAAACCATTTCCCCCATTTTTGCAGTATCAGACTACTATATTATTATATAATTGCAGCACTGTTATAAATGCACTGCCATCAAGCTAATTTAGACTCATGGTGACCTTGTAAGTCAGGGTAGAACTGCCCTGGTGGGTTTCTGAGACTCTAGTTGTAAAAACTGAAACTTATATTTAGAGGGACAGAACCACAATTCAGCCACAGGTGGTGTAATCACAAAGCGAGGTCTCTTAACCACCGAAACTCTCTACCATAGTTCTTACCTAGTAAGTACCCATAAAGGTATGCTTTCCTGATTCCTTCTTTCATTCTACTCCTTGCAGATGGACCCCCACGAGAACATCTTACTGAGCACCCTTGAGATAAAAAATGAAATGGCCACCTCTGAGGCTGTGATGGGACTTGGAGACCCCAGGAGCACGATGCTGGCCTATGATGCCTCCAGCATCCAGTACCGGAAAGCGGGATTGCCCAGGCATAGTTTTGGCCGAAATGCCCTGGAACGACATGTGGCACAAAAGAAAAGCCGCCTGCGGAGACGCGCCTCCCAACTGAAAATCACCATCCCCGACTTGACTGATGTGAATGCCATAGATCGATGGTCTCGCATATTCTTCCCAGTGGTTTTTTCCTTCTTCAACATTGTCTACTGGCTTTATTATGTGAACTAAGAAGCGCTGTCCTGTAGGAAGCAAGGACTTGATTCCTCTTCAAACCAGTTGTACAGCCTGATGTAGGACTTGGAAAACACATCAATCTGGGACAAAAGTGATGCTAAAATACCTTAGTTGCTGGCCTATCCTGTGGTCCATTTCATACCATTTGGGTTGCTTCTGCTAAGTAATGAATACACTAAGGTCCTTGTGGTTTTCCAGTTTAAATGCAAGCGATTTGTACACTTGCTGGCAAGATGGATTCTGAGTGTTCCACTTTACCTGCTTTAGTCTTCCACCTGTACAAGAGGGGAATTATTTGGAGGGGATTCTTAGAAGACTTGGTCACATTGTCAGTCGTTTCCCTGAGAAGTGGTCAGATCCAGACACTCCCCATCTGTATTCCAAAGGTTGACATGGGGTTGTGATGGCACTGTGCTTGTGAAACCTTTCCTGCCATGTCATGTACACATGCTTGCTGGGAGATGGCCCAAGCTATTGTTGCAAGGTGACAATGGTGCTGGGGGAAGATCATTCCCACTGGATTCTGGAACACCCTCACACAGTAGGGGCAACAAAGGAGAGTCAAGACAGGGACTCAAGAAACCAATCTGGCCAATCTCTTTGTTCTTTTGAATACAGGCTATCAACTCTGATGTCTTCCATATTGGCATTTAAGTGCAGGAGACTTCTGAACATCATGATGTGTTGTGGCCATTTTTGGCTGATTAAAGTTGGAATGAATAACCCAGCCCAGAGCAGAAAACCCTGAAACGACTGTTGTAAGAAAATGAATGTCAGTGTGCACCCATGGCCCTTACAAACTGCACATAGCATCTAGTCTATATGGTATGTATTTCACAGCGAAAGGTGAACCAAGGAAGGTTTTTCAATTCTGTTCCCACCCTAACCCTAATCTGACAAGTTTCTGACAGCATGCCTAAGTGGTTTTTATAGGCTATCTAATCAAAAACAGCCACACAAGACAAGTTAGGGAAAATGGAAGTGACGTAGATGTTCGAGTTAGACTGGAAGTCATTCAAATATGTGAACACAGACAGAGCACAGGCCAGGCTAGCAAATCGGCTGTTTTCCCAGACAATGGATGTCTCTGCCCCAGTTCCCCATACATTTGTTTCTGAACTTATTTGGGGACTTTTGAAAGAAAGATTTGTTCATTGATTTTAACGATTAATAGACCTGCCCGGCTTCCCTCACTTCCTCAATTCTGATTATATTCTTAGGAAACACCGTGCATCCTTGAAAGATTGAGTGAACACTGTTTCCCGAGTGCAATGAAGTTAACATTTTTTCTCAGCAACAGTCTTTCATAGGGTATGTGTATAAGTCAAATTAGATTGCGGGCTTGTGTTGGGTTTGTTTTGCTTATTTTGTTAAAGAGTTTTTCATTATACTCGTTGCAATACACCTACGCAAAGAAAACACAAAAACTAGCAGAAAACAGAATACTAACAAAGCCCTATTAGCTTAATGAATGTGTAAGCCTTCATTGATGTTGCAGGAAAAAAAATTTAACTGATGACCAGGCCGACAAGAAGTATTGTTTTTATTCTACGTCTAATTTATATCACTTTCTACAGTAATTGGACATATACATTCATATGTTGGACAAGAAAAGCAAGTAAGATAGAGATTTTATTTGCTTCAATGTGAAGCTCATATTTTTCTTTGCTGATAGAAAAGAGTAAATTGCTAAATCTTTCTTAGAGTTATTTATTACCTACTTTTGATGGAAGAATGACCTTAATAGTTTTTTTCCCCTTTTCTACGTAGCATCCCTGATTATGTAGAGTCAAAGTCAACATCTGCCTGTGGAGAAAACATGTACTTAATTCCCATGTTGATTCAGAAGGTTATGATGGAATCTTGCTGCCTTTCTATCCCATCTACAAAGGGAAAACAAAACAAAACAAAACAAAATGGCTCGTCCTCCAACTTTCCGGATTTGTCCCAAGGTGGGATGTTTTCAGCAGTGTAGGGAAATCTGCCCCTTACTTTTCAATTACACACTCGAACACCTCTGAGCATGGTCTGTGAGCAGAGTATGACAGCGGTGCTGCCCATGTCGGCTCAGAGTCAGGCTCCTCGAGTTTTCCAGGGAAACACTTTCTCTTAGGGAATCAATGTAGGGAATCACCCAAATATCATTGCCTGCTCCTTGCTGCCAGAGCTAACATTTAAGCAGGACATACGAGGAAGGAGCATATTGATAACTCAGGTGCACAACTCCAAAATGCCATTTTGGAAAGGATTTTTCTAGAGATAATTCAGAGCCCAACTGTAGAATTGGACTCATCTTTGCAATTACTGTAAAAGCCATAACAATCTTTGATATTGTCATTTATGGTTACAAGAATATGTTGGATATACACAGGGATGTCAAAAGAGCAACCTCGCCTCAAGTGAAGAGCATCAACTGTGCAGTGTGAATCGCAGAAGCACATAGACAGGAGTCTGTTCCTGTCCTCAGTGATACGAAGGAAAGGGAGAAGAGCAGGGACCTTGAAACACATGCCCCAGAGTCACACCCATATTGGCATCCCGGAGCCATGTAGGTAGAAACAGCTGACTCGTCCTGCCCAGAGATCACAGTAGGCTTTATTCTTGAACTATACTTTTTCTCATGTTGGATTAGAATGTAGTTTTCAAATGGTGAGGGTGGGGGTGCTAGGTCAGATAACTATGAAAACCAGTCAGCTTGATAGCCAGTGATTATACTGAAGGACCACAAAGGTATGTCTTGGTAACCCTGGTGTGGTATTACTATCACTTTATACATACATGTACAGCTTTTCTTTTGATTCAAAACAGCTAGAGAGCCAGCAATGAAGGTGTTTTTTCATCTTTGTGAAATCAATAGGCAAATTCTGACTCTTACAATGCACAGTCTAAGTGAGATCTTTGATCTCACTCTGTATATATCTATATTGTACATGACTGCTAGTAGTTATGAAATGCATTTTCAGAATTGAAAACTCATGCAACATACTCATGTGTTTGCATAAGGAATGTTACCATTTCTTTCTACTGCAATTTAATAGCAGGGAAGAGATGTAAGCAGTGCCATCTAGACCTTTCTCTTCTCGTTTCTTCAAAAGCAGTGCTAAGGAAAAAAATATATATATATCTGTATGTGTGTGGTTTACGAACCAAAAGACTTTGCTTTCTAGCATTAGGAACACAAAAAAAATCTATCAGCTTACAAAAGCACAACACATAGAGAAAGTGCAGTGGAACGCATGATGGGGAAATGAATCATATTTATTTTAAGCAAGACCTGCAATAAATTGGCAACTCTGATGTCCATTTTCCTATAGGTAACTGTATTCCAGTTTCATGATTAATTTCATGCTCAGAAGCAGAAAAAGTAAATCATCATCCACCAAGGCAGGTCTCACAGCATATCTACATGTATATATGTGTATATATAGATCCATATAAACATACATACATATATATGCATTTATATGTTGGGAAAAAAAGGAATAAGCTAATACGTTTCATTTCCTTCATTAAGCCAGTATGCAGATACTTTTAATTTGGCAGCCAACGAATCAACATATTGAAATACATAAATACAGGGTACTGAGCATTTCTCTATCAGCAAAGTAATGCCTACCATTCTTATGAACCATGGCACAGTTTGACACTGCAATAGTACCATGCCTCAGAACATCGGGAATTAGCTAGTTCTCACCGTTGCTTGTCTAGCTGCTCTCTTTTTAAAGGAAGCAAATAACATTATTCATTGGTGATTTAAAACAAATCTGTCTTAAAAAATTACTAAAAAAAAAAATCCTCCTAGGAGGAGAAAGAAACGAAAAAAAAAAATCCCTTGAACCCCACCATGTTGGTTAGGGCAAAATAATTGTCAATTGTAGCAATCCAGCTGTTTTGCTAAGTGTACAGAGTCCATGTAATGTGAGCAACCATAACTGTCAGTGAGCGTGTGTAAATATTAAAAACAGATTTCTTAAATATTTTTAACTTCTAATTTGTATTTTCTGGTAAGGCAAAGTGCTAATTATGTTTATGGCTTAAGTTGATGTGTCATAATATTATGTAAATAATTAAACATGCTGTAAATGAAGTCAATAGATAAAAATAATTGTTTAGGGTTTTTTTTCTCTTAATGTTTATTTATTTTTTACGAAGTATAGCACTTCAGTGCCCCAGCAGAATAATTTAAACACCCTTTTGCACAAATGGTTTGGGATCCCAGACAGAAGAATTTCAATTTGCTCTCGCTCTCTTACACACACACACACACACACACACACACACACAGAGAACACACACACACACCTTTCTCCTTTCTTTTTCTGTCACCTGCTTACTCCTGCCCCTCAAGCCCCTGAATGGGAGATGCTGTAGTGTTTATGTAGTTGATATAGCAACCAAAAGATAACCTTTTACCTGGCACTTGGGAAAAGCAGAATTATTAGTAATTTACTAGAGTCTTTTATACATCAGAGTTCAAGAAACCAAAGGTTGTATCTTAAATCTCAATTTTCAATTGGTAAAATTTTATATTGATGACACTACAGAAAATAAAAATGCTTATTCATATCTGCTTCAGAAATCAGTCACACACAATACATAACAATAAACTTTTTATTTTGGGGTTTTGTTTTTTGCTTTTTTGTTTTTTAATGATAGCATCTGTCTTTAGGTGGTATTGTTCCCATAAGCCAAAGATTCCAGAATTACTTTTAAAAAAATGGAAAGGAAAAAAAAAAGGGAAAAATTTAAAAAGACACTGCTTCACACCAAAGGTTTTTTAACATTTTCCAAATGCACTAGGAACCTTGCTGGAAAAAAAATGGTAAAGAGTCAACAGAACACAGACACTGACCTATTAAAATCATTGGGGAAAAAAAGATGTGGCATTCTTAAATATCTACTAGTTATTTGGAAATTGAAGTGGAATGTTTGTGTAGATACATGTAAAATTCTCACATCATATTTTAATTTGCTTTGAAAAGTACTTCTGTTCTAAAGCTCATGATTCACAATGATGAAAAAAGATGTGTTCTTGCATTTCCAGAATCACATGCCACTCCCCTGCTGCGTGTCCTCTAAGCTGAGGTCTGTGCCCTTGCACCAAGCGAAGCCAGTGGGCCGTTCACGCACTTGTGTCTTTGAGTTTTCCTTTCAGTATAGTTGGAATGATACCAGGAAGTTACACCATGACTATTTTATAAATAATTCAAAGTTGCATATGGCTTGAATTCCATAGCATTTATTTTTATTTTCCTTGGCATGGGTGTTTAAATAGTTCTGTTATGGATATTGTCCCTTGCGCAGTTTGGGAATTGTCCTTTTATAAAAGGTGATAATCTAGTTTTTTCAAAGTGTAGTGACTATCAGCCTTACTTAATAACCTTGTAGCCTTTTTTAATGTCACATAATGCACATTTTCCATGGCTAGAAAATGCAAAACACCAGTGGCTATCATTGCATCTCTCTTCATGTCTTTCTAAAAACGGGACAGCTGCAATCTCTGGGATACACGCGATAGTGAGAAATGAGGATTATCCATGAGTAGCACATCAGAAATATTTTCTTGAATTTAAGCTTATTTCAGCATGTAAATATATAGTAATGTTGGCTAGTGTGTAATTCCTGAACTAAGAAATATAAATAAAACTTTAAAAGGTTGTCTGTGTGGTTTCTTTGGATTTAGAATATTAAATTCTTGAACTCCAGCATGCATGAGTTAGAGTGTTGAATGACAGCTTTTATAAAAAGCAATAAAATGTTTGGGAATGAACATGGGACTTGTTCAGGTAGACTTGTGTTAGATTCTAATTTGCCTATTATTTGGTAAATGAGTGTGCAACTACTTAACCCATCTGACATTCACTCTTCTTGTCTGCAAAACAGGCATATAATTAGTCCTCCCACCTATGGTGATTTTCAAGATGAACGAAGCTGCTCATGAAAAGTCCTTAGCACAGTAAAGGGTACATGGCGTAGCTGGTGACAGTGTTGTCATTACTAAAATAGTCAGCACAGATCTCATGAAAGATGTTACCCTGTCAAAAAGCACTGGGTTTTTGTTATTAGCCTAAAGGTTTTCAGTTCACACCTCCCCAAAGACACTATGGAAGAAAGGTCTAATGATCGTTTGCAATAAAGACTACATTCAGGAAGAACAGATAGTGCTGCATACCACCTTGAGTCACCACGAGGAAGACCTGGCTGGACAGCAATATGTTATTATCCTACGTAAAACGTCACAGTAAAAATTAAATGTTCTTGTATATTTGGGGTAATTGAGATCTTGCCTTCAGATCTCTGCTAGCTTCTCTGTTGAGGGAAATAATTTCATGAAAACATATGATACATGTAAGGCATTCCTTCATTTGAACATTCAATATGTTTATGTCAACTAAAAAGTGCTGAGCTGCTCATAGATTTGATCTTCATTTAGTCCTTACTGTATGTTGGACTGGAGTCAATGGCAACTAATAAGAACAACAACCTATTCCTCAAGGTCAAAGGATCTCAAAAGCAGAACAAATCGTTACTTTGTCCATGAGACTGAAAAAAAACTGGATTCCAGTCCACACTGAATTCACACACACACACACACACCAAACTTTTTTGCAATTTTTATCCAACCTTAAAAATGGGTAAACAGGCTTAGTGAGCAGGCTTGTTGAAGTCTCATTGTTCTTTCTTTACTCAAGAAGCATTTGCCAGTCGTCTGCCATCTGTTATAGTTAGTACCAACGTTGGAAAAACAGAGGAGCTCACACAAAGTTCTTGCCTTCTTGGAGTATAAGGCAGGTCTCATGCACACAGGAAACTTCTGAGCTCTGCCAATTGTTTGATGGTAAGCCTGATATCGTTAATGATCAGTGCTGGGGCAATGCCTGTCCGCCTGAGGAAGAAAGTTACCAGTGCACAAGTGTCCAATAGAGTCAAATTAAGACGTAACCACTAAGGAGTGAGTGAATTCTATTGAAAAGACCTTCCTATGTAATGAGTATGTAATGACCCAGGTCTTCCCAACTTCTTGACATCCAGTTTACAATGAACTGTAAATTATAAAATCTACAAATACAAAACACTCAACATTTTCACTTGACAAACCTCAGGCTACATTTTGACATTTCCAACCAGCTGAGAGAATATAGAGTCACTATGACTCAGAATGTACTCAATAGCAGTGAGTTTGGTTTGGGTTTGGGGAGAGAATTTTTGTATCTTCAAATTCATGAGCATGTTCCCATTCCAGATGGTGTGTATGTGTGTCTGCATGTGTGTGATGAGACAGCCCACAGATAGAGTTGCCTTTTCAAATCACAACAGCTGAGTACTCGAGCTCATACTGACCCTGTAGGACAGAGTAGAACTCCCCTATAAGGTCTCCAGTGCCGTTGTTCATAGGATACAAATAAGGTGTAGAGGACTCTCACTCAGAGAATTGGTCAGTTTTGCCATTCTGCCTGGTATAGAAGTGAGCTATCTCAGAAACATGAAGAGAGAATCTCACATCTAGCAGAAGGATGGGCCAAGCCATCTCAGATCTCTGTGTGGAGAAATGGAAGGGCCACAGAGCATCATTAAAGAGCCATAGCAGAGACTATAAGGCAAAGCAGCTCCTTCCTGCCCCAGGGACCAAATAACACTGAGGGCCTTCTGGCAGGAGATTACCTTGCAGAGTGGTGTTCCCTTTGGGCACTGACCAGGGCTAAAAGAGCTTGGTAACACTTTCCTGAGCAGGCTAGAGGCTAAAGGGTTATGTAACTAAGACACCAAGGACCAGACAGAGACAGGCCTGCTGGCATGGATGAGAAGAGATACTGCTGTAGACAAAAGCACTGCATCCTTATAATGCCTGCTGATCCTGGCTTCTGATGACTTAACTTCCCTAATAGAACCTCACAGTCATAGGGGCTGTCCGTGAATTCCTTTTGGCTGCTGCAATCGACTATGGGCCGCATTAGAAAAGTAAGAGTGTAATGTCTACCGGTTGGTGTCAGCAAAGGGTAAAAAAGATAGGAGGATGAAGACATGTCTAACCCTAGAAATTAGCGTGGTGTGGAGTTGGATTCTCCTTCCACAGAGAAGATCAGATGTCGCTTCCAAAAAATTTCCGCAAGATATCAATTTGTGTAGTTGCTGATCTTTGCTTCTTGTTTGTTTCAAACAGCTAACAGGTGTCATGGCTGTAATTGTTAGGATTTGCTCCGTCTCTTCTTCCAAATCAGGCCTGAACCTCTGGAAGCTCCCTTTCCATGTACTGCTGCATCCATTGCTGGATGGTCTTTAGCAAAACCTTCTTGCATGAGATAATAATGATATTATTCCATAGTCTGAGCCTTCTGGTGGGTTGTATATGACAGAGTAGAATTGCCACGTTGGGTTTCCCTGGCTGTGATATTTACAGAAGTAGATTGCCAGATATTTCTCCAGCAAGGCTGTTAGGTGGGTTTGAACCATTGACCTTTTGGTTAGCAGATGATTGCCAACCCTTCTTGCCACAGTTAACGCATACCAGAGGAGCCCTGGTGATGTAGTGGTTACACGTTAGGCTGTGATCTGTCTGGTTAGCAGTTTCAAACCACCAGCAGTCCCAGGGAGAAAAGACTGGGCTTTCTACTCCAGTACAAGCAGTAACCGTCTCAGACATCCAAGGGGGTCGCTATGAATCAGCACAGTAAGTTTGGTTTCATTTTAACACACGCTATTTCTTTAAGACATATACTTGTATTTAGTGGCCAGAAATTTTCACCGGGAAAAACAGACTATAAGTTACTGGGGCATCCTCGGGAATTATGCATAATGATCTACAGATGCTGAGGAAAAGCAAAGTAAAGAGAGAGAGAGAAGGATAATTTAGGAGAAAATTGATTGCACTTTCCTTAGAAATAGAGGCTTTTACACTATGCAGTGGCCTGGGCATATGAGAGACCTCACACAATTGGCAATAGGAAACCTGAGCTATCAGGCCCTGAGCACAGTCCCAGGCAGGCTACTACAATGACAGAGTCCTCAGACCACAGTGAAAAATCCAACAGGCTGGAAAAGATCAGCAGAAAAGGAATGCATTTCTTCCTATGCGGGTTTGTTAAAGACTGAATGCTTAATGCAACACTCCACTCCGATCTGGGTTCTACATGGCCCTTGAGTCCACCGTCCCCGGAGGAGGTCTGAAAAACTACATGACAGCTTGGATAGTGGATCCAGCTCCTAGGAACAGACATTCAGTGGGCCTGAGGGTAGCAAGCTCCAGAGCTGAAATTCCGAACATTTCAGTAGAGGTTTAATACATATTATTTGCTTGAAAACTCTTGAAAACTCAAATGTGTTCACCATTTGTAGCAGGCAGTGTAATTAGTAATTACTAATTACTAATTAGTAATCTAGTTCTAATTACCATAGGCTTGATTCTGATCCATGACAGTCCCACAGAACTGTGCTCCATGGCCCCTTTAATGGCTGGTATTTCAAAAGTAGACAACTAAATTTTCTTCCAAGACACCTCTGGGTAGAATTGAACTTCCAAATGCTCAGTGAACAGACAAGCATCCTAACCATTTGCCCTACCTAAGGACTTCAAATTAATAATGGGCTTGGCATGGCACAATGGAACCACCACCAATCTGTCCATTTGTCTTACTGTTATGGCTTATTAGTAAGATGTGGGAAGCTAGATGTGTTAGGCAGAGTTATCTAAAGAAACAAAAACAGAGCACTTATGATTATATAGATATAAGACAATAGCTTTATACAGCAAGAAGGAAAAAACAGATAATTAGTCCACACCACAGTAGAGAGGGCTCAGTTCAACTCACTTTTATGGAATAGTTAATAGACTGGAAGTCCTTCAACTCAGGTCCAAGGTCAAGGAAGCAGATAGAGTAGTCTTCCCTCAGGCCAGATAAGCAGAGTCTGCCCACAGGCAGGAAACAGCAGGGCGGGTTAGCAAGTCAGTAGCTGGGGAACTTAAAGAATCGGGCCCGAACAGGATATCAAACTCAAGCAACACAAGGTGTCAGGATCCATCAGCAGTGTGGCAAAGCAGGTCTCAGTGGAGCTTCAAGCTCTAGAGCAGGGGTGCTCGCACTTTTTCCAGCATGCTAGCTACTTATAAAATGATCAAATCAAACCGATATACCAACTACAAAAATGCAAAACACATTTTTTAAATGTATTTATTGCATGTATCCATAAATGCATTGAGAGTTCTTTATATGTACAATGTATGTTTATGTACTTTGCCTAACTGCATGAGTCCATATTGCACAACACAACACAATTAACTGTGTACATTTTTTGTCATTATCTGAGTTAACTCTGATGACTTGCACTGAACAGAATGAGCCATGGATGCATAGTCCGGACAGTAGCTGCTGACAGCCAGCCCCGAGCACACTTCCAAATGATCATCAGTCATGGTGGAACGGTACTTGGACTTCATGATCTTTATGTGGGAAAAGGCTGACTCACATAAATAAGTAGAGCCGAATAATGCAGTCAAGGAGGTAGCACATTTTCTCATGTTTGGGTTCTTTCCCTCTGCGAGTAAGTTCCAGAACAGTTCATGCGCTCTGGAGTTCAGCTGAATGTCGGCTCGTAGTGTCAAACTCTCCCATTCCGTATGAAAGCGATCCGTTTTTGTCTTCTTACTTGGTCCAGCTCCCCC